GGGGCTGTGCCGTGCCAGCGGGGAAGGGGGAGGTGGGGGGCGGGGCCGCGGGCACCGTCGGGGCCTCACCTGCACACGATATAGCGGATGACATTGGCGTGGCAGATGAAGATCTCGTAGCTGTCCTCCTGCTGCTTGGCGTCCGCCCGGTGGATGTAGTTCCGGAAGGCGGCCTCGATCCGCGCCCCGTCCTCGTAATACTGCTGGGGGCAGAAGGAGGGATCGTCCGTATGGAGGAGGTGCGCGGGCCACCGCCGCCAGGAGCCCAGGGGCCGCCAGGAGCCCAGGGGTGGAGTGGAGGCCGCTCCCGGGTGAGGCCGCCCGGCGGGGAGTCTTTACCACAGCCTCTGGCTTCCAGTGAGACACGGGGGGGTCAGGCTCGATGGGAGCGCCTTCCCTCAGCAGGTCTGTGCTGACCTTGCAGACGCCTACAGAGAGACACAGGACTCAGCGCCCCTTCAGGAGCAGCCGGCCCGGGGGCGCCTGGCACTCACCTGGCAGGTGTTTGCTGATGATGTCAGTGGTTTCTATTGCACGGGTCATGGAGGAATGGACGATTTTATTAAACTTCAACCCCAAGCTTGCAAGTCGGAGACCGGTTAGTTCAGCCTGCTCACGACCTTGAAGGTGGAACACACTGGAGAATTACACGTCGCCGGAGCCCCTGTTTGTTTACTTCACAAATACGTCAGTCCTTACCAAGCACCATTAGGTTTGGGGGACAAGACGGGCAGCCCCTCCCAGGGCTCAGGCCTAAGGAAGAGGCCAGGCTTTCAACAGGTAAAATCAATGAGACAAACCAGCCACCTTCAGCCCCATAAAGAAGAAACACTGAAGACAACGGCCATGGTGGAGGCTGGCTGAAGTTTGGGTGGGGTCCTGTTTACTATTTCTGGGTCCCCCACACCATTCCTACTCAACTTTGTCCAAAGATTGGGTGTCAGTGCGCCAGTGACCACCCGCCGCTCAATCACCACCACCAGGTGTTAACACGAGAGGACGGACAGCCTCAGCGCTGCTGCAGCCTGGGTGCAAATATAAATGCTCTTCCTCACATGTATCTTAGAATCCAGTCGAAACGCCCTTGGAAAGTCAGTTTCAGCTGGAGGCGCGATACCACAGATGCAGCTTTACTTCCACCCGTGCCCGAGGACAGGCCAGCAAGCCCCTTCACACAAATGGGTGCTATCTCATTCAACAGAGAGATTTTTTCAAATGTAAACTCTATCTCCAACCTCCCTGCGTTTCCTTGCTAGGAATTTCTCCTACAGACACATGAGCACAAAGACGGAGGCGGGCCCGCCCGGCAGCGCCATTCACAGCAGCAAGAAACTGCCACAGGCACACTCAGCGCAGGGCAGCTGAGACCCGCCACCGCCACCGTTTATGAGGAAGGCTCTCCAGCAACTAGGTCAAGCTAGACGGAGCACCGGGCGGGGCCGCCTCAGAGAGCCTCCTGCCTGCAGGCAGCATCCACCTTAACTAGGACGTTTTCAAAGCCTGTGTCAGATTTGGCTGATTATTACTAATAATGACAAGGCTCGCATCTGGGCCGAGAACACCTGACAAAGGTCCAAAGAGGCCCAGCACCCCAAGGGCACCTTCAAGGAGGCTGGCCTCTGCGGGCGGGCCCAGCCACGTACCCAGGGGCGTCAGCGTGCGGTCCTTCTCCAGGGGGGCGTCCACGTGGTACTGGGAGTGCCTGATGAGGAAGATGTGCCGTGTGGCCCTGGCCTTGCAGTGGTCCAGCCTGGACGCCAGCTCTTCTTCTCCGGGCTCCAGGTTCCTCTTCCGCAGGTTGACCAGGGACAGTGGTTCTCTCCTGATGCAGAAATACAAGACGGTGTGTCCTGTGCCCCTGCTCACAAGCCACCCCCAGTCTTTCTGACAGAGGGGCTTCGTGGGTTGGTGAGGCACAGGGGAGGAGCCGGCGCCCCCCTTCTCTTGGCGCCAGGCCCGCCCTGGGGGGCTGGATGTGAACAGGACAGACAGGCGAAGCTATTGTGCTGCCCACGTCCTTGTGAGGAGACTGACAGTCACAGCAAGGGGACCAGGGGCGCGGAGGAGGAAGGGGTGTCTGCGGACGGGCAGGTGGGAAACGCCCACAGGGTGGCCTCGCTGACGGGGACGCTGTGCTGCCCAACAGGAGCCACTGACCAGGTGGCTACTTAAATTCAAAATCATGAAAATTAAATACAATTAAAACTCCATTTCCCCAATCACACTAAACACATTTTCAATGCTTAGTAGCACATGGGATAGTGGGCATCAAATCGGACAGTGAGGAAAATGCTCCCGTTACCACGGAAACCCCCTGGATGGCCCTGCTGGAATGCTGGGACGGAGCTGCAGTGGCAAAGGTGCTGAGCCACCAGCAAGTCTGGTGAAGACAGGCACTCTGACGGCTCGTGGGCCTCAAGCTAACAGAAATTACATGCCTGTGAGACCGGCAGAGCTGGGAAAAGAACGTACTCGGCCGAGGCAGTGCTGGAAGGATAACTTTTGAGGGGATAATGGTGAATTCACGGGTTCTGCTTGTGCCGTGCGAACCTCGGGAGCCTGGGGTGCCCGCAACATGGCCAGGCCGAGATGCCACACTGGCAGTCACGCGGGAGCTGGGGCTGAGCCAGAGAAGACATCTGGAACCTACAGGCACAGATGCAGGAAGCCTGGCTCCTCAGAAAGAGGCTGGAGATTTCACTGGATGAGGCCCTGGAACTTTCTAGCATGGACACCACCCCCCTCCCCCCCCATAAACCTAGACTTGGCAAGCAGATACAGCCTCATGTTGGCCTCATACAAGGCTGGAGTCCGGCTCTCCCTCAAGTCAGTCCTTTAACCTCACAGTGACTCTGTTTCCTTAAAAAAGCCCCAGAAATTCACAAGATTGTACTGATGTTTGAAAAAGAGAATATGACCCCAGTCTAATCGTGAGAAAAACAGACAAATCCCAATTGAGGAACATTCTATAAAATCCCTGATCAGCCCTCCTCAGAAATGTCAAGGTCATCAAAACAAGTCAAGTCTGAGAAACTGTCAAAGCCTGACTGTCCTGTGGGATCCGGGAAGACACAACGGACATGTAAAAACTGAGGAAATTTCAATAAAGTATGCACGTCAGTTAAAAATATCATATCTATACTGGTTCACTGATTGTGACAAGTGTCCCATATTAGTGTGAGGTGTTAACAACAGAGGGAATTAAGTGTGGAGTATACAGGTACTCTATCATCTTTTTCTGTAAATACAAGACAATTCTAAGATAAGTTTACTCTTTAAAAAGTAAAGGTTAAAAAGAATACTTATGAAGTTCCCGATACAACTAGGCCAGCAATAAATATTGGATCTGTGCCCCACACTCAAGTGTCAAGGAGTGAAGAGCTGGGAGTGGGTAAACCATCCCACAACCCAGAGCAGGGGTGTCCAATAGAAACAGAACACTGGCAACATACGTAATTTAAAATTTCCAAGTGGCCACATTTACAAAGCAGGAAGAAACAGGTGAAATTTCAGTAACTCACTTTATTTACTCCAGCATACCAAAACTACTATCGTTTCAATACAGTATTTTAAGTTCTGCACTGCTCTGGTTTTTAAATTTAAATTAATTAACGTTAAGTAAGACTAAAAATTGCTTCCTGATCACAGGAGCCACACTCCAAGGGCTCAATAAGAACACTGACAGCGCGCGGCCAGGTGGGACCGGCACCCCTGGACCTCACGCTCCTACTCAAGATGGCTGCTGGTCCTGTCCCCGCGAGGCCGCCTCGCGGAGGCCCCTTCCAGGGCCCATCTCCACCTCGCCGTCTCAGCTGTATCGCAAATATGGGACCAACGTGCCGTCAGCCAATCTGAGGATTCCGAAGTTGGGAGACGGAAACAAGGACAAGAGCCCTACAAAGGTCCAAAGCCCTCCGTCTAGGACTGAAAACGACCACTTCGGGCTTCTCTGTGCGCCAGGCACTGTCCCTGGCATCACGGTGCTCGTTCCTCAAAACGACCCCCTGGGCAGACGAGGAAACTGGCGCTCAGAAGAGGGGTCGAAGGACGCCCCACGTCCACAGCCACCCTTGCGGCCAGAACCGAAAGAGAAAGCCGCACGCAAGCCTGCCCCGCCCGCCCCTCCGCGGAACCGACCACACCGACCGGCCGGGACGGCCAGGGCCCAGGAAGGCTCCCGCCGCCGGCCCCGCACCTGTCCCAGTTGGGGTCCCAGACGCCGGGCCGGGGGCGCGCGGCCCCCGCCCACGCCGGCGGCTCGACCACGCGCGGCTCCGCGTCCCCGCCCGCGCGGGGCTTCCCCACTGCCACCGCCGAGAAGAACACCGCGGCCGAGCCCCCGGCCAGGCCGCAGGCCGCCAGCTGCAGCGCCTGTCGGAACGCCATGCCGGCCCGTCCCACGCGGGGCTGCGTCGATTCCGCGCAGGCGCTTTCGGGCGCGGACGGCGCCGCGCAAGGGACAGGCTTCGGCGGGCGTGCGCTTCCGGCCGCTGGGCTGCGCGGGAGACGCGGGAGTCGCCGGGATGGCCCTGCCGGCCGCGGGCGACTTCCGGGAACGAAGGCGGAGCCCGGTGGTTCTGAGACCCTTCCCTCGACCCGCTGCGGGCGGCCCGGGGCGGGAGTCGTTCCTGCCTTCGAGCAGCTAGTGCTCACGCGGCGTCCCCGGGGGAGCCGCTTGGGCGAGGGCGCAACGGGAGCACCGAAGCCGGCGCCGGGCGGCGGGGCCGGGTCAAATGCGGGAAGAGCCCAGGGGGAACCCGTGCCCCGCAGATGACTTGGGGTTCTGGTTTAAGTGAACTGGGAAACTCCCGCAGGGTTTGCTGGTCGCCTTGTTTTTACTGTGGCAAGATACACATAACGCAAAATTTACCATCGTAACCGTCTTTTAGGTGTACAGCTCAGGGGCATTAAGCACATTGTCTTTGTTGTGCAAGTATCACCACCATCCCTCTCCAGAACTTTCTCATCTTCCCAAACTAAAATTCTGTCCCCGTTAAACACTTAACTCCCCATCCCCTTCCCTCAGCCCCTGGCACCCACCACCCTACTTTCTGTCTCTATGAATATGCTCCAGGGACCCCAAAGAAGTAGGGTCGACAGTATTGTCCTTTGCGGACTGGATTATGTCACTTAATGTCCTCAAGGTTCATCTGAGTCGTAGCATGTGTCAGAATATCCTTCCTTTTTAAGGATGCATAATATTCCATTGTATGGATGGACGACATTTTGTTTATCCATTCATCCATCAATGGACATTTGGGTTGTTTCCCAGTTTTAGCTATTGTGAATAACGCTGCTGTGAACATGGGTGTGCAATATCTCTTCAAGTCCCTGCTTTCTGTTCTCTTGGGTGTATACACAGAAGTGGAATTGCTGGATCATCTTGGCAGACTTTTAAATGGGGAAGTGATACGATCTGATTTACATTCTTAAAAGTCACTCCGGATTTTGAAGAATGAATGTATTCCACAGAAATACCCAGACCTCTGCTTAAGCATATGGTGTCTTGAACCCATATATTTATGTCTCCTTCTTCCAGAAGGTCGCTTATTAAAATGATGGCAAAAAAATTTAAAAAGACAAACCTACAAGGACATACTTGCGTCCACAGAAGAAACAAAGCCAAGAGATCAGCTGACAAAATTTTGGAAGCTGGAAATCAGATTGTTATTGATCTGAGGAGATGGAATATCTGTTGCCTGCACTGAGGGAAGCCAAGAAGCAAGTTCATCTATTCCGGTGAGTCTGGCAGAGCCTGGCCAGTTACAGTTACTAGCCCCACCTCTGAGCTCTGAGGACACAGCAGGACTGACTGAAAACCTGAGAGGTTGCACTCTTCATCCCCTCCATCACCAGTGTATTCAGGTGACTACCTCACCTCCAACATGGCAGAAGACTAGAGAACTTTCATTGCAGGGGATCTGAACCAGAAGGCCTCTGGATTTGAGAACACCTGACAGCTGAGACTGGGCTGCAGTAATAAAGATGAAATTATATGAAGTTCATATACCAATAGTAGGACTCTAACCCCTTTTCTCCAGTTAGCCACAAGAAGGTTGGCCACTGTGCTTATACCATGCTCCCCTACAGCCACCACTCTCCCTGCCCCACCCCCACCCCCACCCTGGGCAAGAAATGAAAAGATTCCTCTCTGGGTAAACTGACCAGCCCAGGAGAAAATACCTCAGTTGTTGAAAATGGGTGGTCCCCAACAAAACTGGGTCCCAGGCTTCCCTGGTGGCACAATGGTTAAGAATCCGCCTGCCAATGCAGGGGACACGGGTTCGAGCCCTGGTCCGGGAAGATCCCACATGCCGCAAAGCAGCTAAGCCGGTGTGCCACAAGTACTGAGCCTGTGCTCTAGAGCCTGCAAGCCACAACTACTGAGCCCGCGTGCTACAACTACTGAAGCCCACGCACCTAGAGCCTGTGCTCCACAGCAAGAGAAGCCACTGCAAAGAGAAGCCCAAGCACTGCAACAAAGAGTAGCCCCCGCTCGCCACAACGAGAGAAAGTCTGTGCGCAGCAACGAAGACCCAACACAGCCAAAAATAAATTAAATAATTTTAAAAAAAGGGTCCCTGCTTGGTCAGCCCACAGTGAGGGTATGGTTTCACAAGTGCAGCCCATGCACACAAATCTTCCAAAGAATATCTGGGTGGCTTTGACTCTTTAACAATGATGCACAGGGGCTTCCCTGGTGGCTCAGTGGTTAAAAATCCACCTGCCAATGCAGGGGACACGGGTTCGAGCCCTGGTCCGGGAAGATCCCACATGCTGCAGAGCAACTAAGCCTGTATGCCACAACTACTGAGCCTGCGTGCCACAACTGCTGAAGCCCGTGCACCTAGAGCCCGTGCTCTGCAACAAGAGAAGCCACCGCAATGAGAAGCGCATGCACCACAACGAAGAGTAGCCCCCACTCACCGCAACTAGAGAAAGCCCGCGCGCAGCAGCGAAGACCCAACACAGCCAATAAATAAATAAATAATCCTTAAAAAACAAAAACAAACAAAAAAACCAATGATGCACAATCAAGGATCAACATGGGGACTTCCCTGGTGGCGCAGTGGTTAAGAATCCGCCTGCCAATGCAGGGGACACGGGTTCAAGCCCTGGTCCAGGAAGACCCCACATGCCATGGAGCAACTAAGCCCGTGTGCCACAACTACTGAAGCCTGCGCGCCTAAAGCCCGTGCTCCGCAACAAGAGAAGCCACTGCAATGAGAAGCCCGTGCACGGCAAAGAAGACCCAACACAGCCAAAAATAAATAAATAAATAAATAAATTTTAAAAAAAGAAAAAAAAGATCAACATGGGCTTCCCTGGCAGTCCAGTGGTTAAGACTTTGATTTTCAGGGACTTACCTGGTGGCACAGTGGTTAAGACTCCGTACTCCCAATGCAGGGGGCCTGGGTTTGATCCCTGGTCAGGGAACTAGATCCCCCATGCCGCAACTAAGGAGCCGGCAAGCTGCAACTAAGACCCTGCACAACAATGACAACAACAAAAAAAACTTCATCTTCCAGTGCAGGGGGTGTGGGTTTGATCCCTGGTCAGGGAGCTATGCCTCTCAGCCAAAAAACCAAATCATAAAACAGAAGCAATATTGTAACATATTCAATAAAGATTTTAAAAATGCTCCACTTCAAAAAAAAAATCTTAAAAAAAAAAAAGAGAAAGAAAAGGATCAATAGACATTTCAGGAAATCCTGATAGGGTAACACAAAGATCAAACAGGGAAAAAACAAAAAGCAAAAAACCCTGAGAAAATAGAAACAGCACGTGAGACAGAAAAAAATTCAAAAAATATATAATTAAGATCCCAAGAGATATTGTATCCATGAAATAAGGATAGGAGGCAATCAGGAAGGAATGTTCTAAGAATGAAAAAGCAGGGAGGGAGGGAGGGCTAATGTAAATGACCAACAGGAGAGCAGACCCCACTGCTGAAAGGGTGGCATACAGGGCCTCTCAGCAGGTCAGGGCAAGTCCTGGTCTAGAGGGGCCCATGTCCTATGGGGCCAGGTAGCCAAGCAGTAGTATTGTGATATATGTTACCACAATTTTTTAAACGTTTTAAAAAATCTGAGGGCAGCCCTCTGATCACCCATTTCTTTCAAAGCAACAGCAATTATTCTGAGAAATTAAAATCACCACTGAAAAAACTACGTTATAGTTTATTGTGATCCTAATTCAATCCAAGGTGAGAGGTGAAATCATCTCTACTGTATTTTAAGTTTCTTAGGGGAGCACCACCTGAGGACAGGGACCACCTTTTTAAAAACGGATTCTGACATTCAGAAATTTCTGTTTCTCCATCTATCATTTTAGGGTCATCTTGAATCACATGATCTAGAGGCAGGCTGGGTTGTTCCTGCTCTCTCACCCACACCCCCTCCCCCCTCCCCCCACATCGTCAGTGTGTCTGAGGACCTCTCCTGGTCATCTTCACTTCCCCAGAGAGGCCAGGTAGGTATGCCAGAACAGAGCCGCCAAGTCGGCACAGAGCACCCGGAACTGCCGGAGAGAACACGGCTGCAGTAAGAGCAGGCCCTGGGCACACTCATCAGGCACCCACCCCCCAGGACAGGGCTCAGTCACGGGTCAGTCCACGCACCCACTGCTGTACCTGCTGAGCCTTCACTGCGTACAAGGCACTGTGCCGGGGGCCCAGCAGAGAGGGGTGAGGACAGTCCCTGCCTGATGATGATTACGGGACAGCACGGAAAATACTCCTTTACTGAGCACTTGGGCTCCTGGCTCAGCCTCTCACCCCAGGACCAGTCATCATGCAGGCGGCCTCACCTGGCTCCTCCCTGAGCTCAGCCTCTCACCCCAGGACCAGTCATCACGCAGGCGGCCTCACCCGGCTCCTCCCTGACAACCCCACGACCTGCTCTTCACTCTAACCCATCCTATGCCATTACCCTGCTTCTATGATCTGACGGGCATACTCCCACCTGGAATCACCTGTAGTCAATTACTGAGTCTCCCAGGCACATAAGCTCCATGAAAGTAGCAGTCCGGTCTATCTCATTAGTCACTGTAGCCCCAGAGTCTAGAGCAGCAGGGCACACAGCAGGTGCTCAATACATATTTGTTGAATAAACTCCCTGCCCCTTAAGCACTCGCCGGCAACCACCTTTTAGGAAGGTCTCTAATCCCAGGCTTGCAGCACTGTCCCTAAGCTAGTCAGAAGGACTCCATTTTCCAGCCTCTCTACTTTCCCTGCCATAGACCCTTCCACGTCCTCAGCCGTTCTGTCTTCTCATGTCTTTACTTCATCTTCTATGTGCCTTACAACCCACAGTGCATAGCCCTGGTTTCCTTCCCTTCTTGTTCCTCAGTTGCACCCCCTGGAAAAACCTAGATCCTCCTGCCTTCTCACCTGCCTCAGGCCCCAGGCCCCTGCACATAAGAGTCTTCAGCCTCTCCTGGCTCCCCCGTCTCCAATCAGCTTCCTCTCCTATCCTCCGCAGCACCAAGGTGACCACTTCTTTACTCCCCTCAAAATATCCATCCCCGCAAGCCTGCCCCACCCCTCCCCCTCCCCGAGGGAAGACAAGGTGTGGCCGGGGGTCCCCAGTGAACAGTGACCTCCCGTCTCTGCCGTGCTCACAGGGGAGGCGAGCCTTCCACCTGAAGCGCCTCTCTGCTTACGCTGCAGTCCCACGCCCACCCCCAGCACTGGCGCAGCCTGGGGTGCCGCTTGCATGCAGCGCGGCCACCCTGGTCCTATAGGCGAAAGCCTTCTCCTGCCCCGCCCACTGCTAACGGCCATTCCCCCTCCGCTTCCCAGGCGCCCGAGAGGCTGTTTTAGACTCGCAGCTTATCTTCACCTCCCCACCCTCGCCAGCTCTCAGCCATGTGGCCTCAGCCCCACGAAGCCACTGAAGTTGCTCTAGGGAAGGGCGCTTTTAAAGCCAATGGAAACGGACGGATCTTTATTTTGCTTTAACTTCCTGCAGCATCAGCTATTGCTGTCCATCTCTGCCTCTGGTTTTCTGCTACCCCTTGGTGTGTGTGTGTGTGTGTGTGTGTGTGTGTGTGTGTGTGTGTGTGTGTGTGTGTTTACCAAGCCCGTCCCCTCCCTCTTCCCACCCTTGCAAGGTGCCTCTTTCCCAAGGGGGCTCTTGCCCCAGGTCTCTTTCTCTCCTCTCCCTAAAGCAGGACGGAAATCAGCCTGTATGAGCTAGCTTCAGGTAGGTTACTTAAATGGTGTGCAGAAAAGGGTTAACACAGCAGGCCTGAGGCCTGGGAATCCCTGGAAAGGCCTGTTTGAGGGGCTGGTGCTCGGGCTGGTGTCTGGGAACTTAGATTTCATGTGGGGTTCCCGCCTTTCCTCCCGGGTTGTAGGGAACTCTGGTGCAGGGGGCGGTGCCCATGTGCCCAGTCCCCAGTAAAACACTGGGCAGAAACACCACGTGCCTGCATTTTGTGGGTGGGTGAGGGCTTGCTCTGTGTGGCCCTCAGGGGAGGGAGGGAGGGAGAGAGGGAGCAGAGGGCCCCGGCAATGGATTCCCAGGATCCAGTTGTACATCCTGGCTGCGTGGTCCTCATAAACCTAGGCCGTGAGCCCTTCCACCCGGCAGTGGTCTTGGGACCCAGACACAGATGGGCTGTACTTGGTGTGGAGGCAGTGGACACTGGCAGGGCCTTCAGCAAACTGGAGGGCGGCCTCACCGCAGCCCACCTGCGGCCCGCAGTCCCGCTTGCAGAGGTTCCCCACCCAGATGCTCCGACCCTTGGCTCAGAGCCCCCCACCCCGCCCCGGTGTGGCCCTGACGTCCCTGCAGGTGAGGCTGCCCTCCCGCAGCTGCGTGGGCGCGGGCTGCAATCCAGCCCTAGGAAGCCGAGCGCTGCCCGGGATGAAAGGGGGCAGCATGGACGCCGCTAGGGAGGCCCCTCCTTCTATGTCACTTTGCCTGCCAGAATCCAGAAGGGGAATGATCCTGGGCGAAGAGGAAGCCCCAGAAGGAATCCGGAACTTGGGGTGATCCTGAGGCTCGAGAAAAAGAAGGCTGGCGGGGGTGGGCTTTGGGGGAGCTCGAAGCCCCTCTCTGGCCCTGCGGTGCCGGGCTGGCCTTACTTGCAAAGGGACTTAGTTGACGTTAATAAACTGCACTGGAGTCCAGGCTCGCCAGTTCATCTGCAGCGCCGGCCAGAATCCTCTCTTCATCTTGGCAGCGAAGGCGGCCGTGCCCTTCCCCTGGAGAGGGGGGAACGCCGAGGGAAACGCAGACCGTGAGCAATACCGGGGCCCCAAAGCCTGACACAGTGATTTCTTTAAAACTGCAGTTTGTTCCGTTTATATGGACACAGCACACACGTGTGCTTGAGCAGCGGTGCAGCAAGGAGCTAACAATCCAGCAGGAAAATCATCAGAACAGCGCTCACACTGTGCGCAACCTTCGCCCATGACCCCTGAGAGCTGAGCTGACGGTGTGATTCACGCTGCTGGTCCGGGCACCAGAACTGCTCTGCTGATGGCTCAGCTGTCAATTCTTTCCAAAATAATCTCCAAAGTTGATGCATTTCCAATCAAAAGTTGTCAGGAGCTTTTAAAAAATGGACCCCAATAAATTGATTCTAAATGTCATCTGGAAGGATAAATGCATAAGAATAGCCATCTTGAAAAAGAATAAGAAAGGAAGGCTTACCTTACTAGAAATTGTTTAAAATGCTGTAAAATTATGGCAATTAAAACGTCTAGTAGCAACAGCCCAAAACAAACCAAATCATGGAAATGTGGAAATGAATAGAATCCAGCAAAAGAACAGAGTCCAGATAATGGCCTGTACACATGGGAATGAGAATATGATAAAGTTAACATTTTACTATACTGGGGACTGTTCAATAAATGGTAATGAGACAGTTTGCTATCTAAGTGGAAAAAACTAAGACTGAAGTATATCTCCCACTATATTAAAAACAAACACATAATACTAGAGGAAAGTATAGGAGAATATTTCCATTATCTTTGGGCCTATCAAAATGTACAAAATAAAATCACAAGAGTAGAAGAAGAAAGTATAGGAGAATATTTCCATTATCTTCCTTTAAGGAAGCCTACAAAGGAAAATAATGACAGATTTGAATGCATGAATTTTTTAAACTCCTGTATGGAGAACGCCACCGTAACACCCTTTATTTATATAACTTATGCAAACAATTTAACTTTATATGAAGTTAAAAGACAAACACCTGGGACTTCCCTGGTGGCACAGTGGTTAAGAATCCACCTGCCAATGCAGGGAACAGGGGTTCGAGCCCTGGTCTGGGAAGATCCCACATGCCGCGGAGCAACTAAGCCCGTGCACGACAACTACTGAGCCTGCGCTCTAGAGCACGCGAGCCACAACTACCGAACCCACGTGCCATAACTCCTGAGCCCGCGTGTCTAGAGCCCGTGCTCCGCAACAAGAGAAGCCACCGCAACGAGAAGCCCGCGCACCGCAGCAAAGAGTAGCCCCCGCTTGCTGCAACTAGAGAAAGCCTGCGGTAGGGAAACAAACTTCACACAGAGGGAAAAGCCACAAGGGTTAGGAGCTCTCAAGAGTCACAAAACCTGTGTCTGAATCCTGACTCACGGACTCGTTACACCTCAGGCCAGTGTTTACCCTGCAAATAACTGAAGGCCTCAGCTTTCTCAGCTGTCAGGTGGGGTTGATGTGAGGCTCAAAGACCTGAAGCACTGGATGCAGAGCTTGGAACAAGGCAAGTGCTCAATAAATGTCTGCTGATGCTATTATTCTGCACCACTGCAGGGAGGACAGAAAACGACAGCCTTTTTTGGACAATTCTAGGAATTAACCAAGCAGGAATCCTTACACAAAAGAGACAGGCATACGGTGGGTGGAACAGTCTGCAGTCTGTAACACAACGTCTGGATCACAGGATGCTGGATGCAGAAGCCCCTGTAGTGTGTATGCCGTATGGATAGTGTGGTCCCACATGTCTCATGATGTGGTGGGTACATAATTTATGCACTTTGGTAACATCTGCCATATACGTAGAGGCAAATGTTTTTGTTCTTTAATGGAAATATACTCCCTTCCTATTTGGAAGGGAAAAAAAGGGAGAAACTGCTGTGGTACCCTCACTCCTAATATGGGCACCCTCTACTTTCTCCTACCTCTGATTTCCTAAGGACTTCCCAAATATTTCTTTACTATCAGGGATTTATTAGCAATCACAGTGAAGTTTAAACATCTTTTCTGCTGCCCACCAGGGTCACTTTAGACAGCATGGGTGTTCTCCTTACTAATACGAACTTGAGGTGAGGTTTCAAAATAAAACCCAAGTGAGAAGCATTCACCTGCTGTGACTGGTTAAACGAATTACTTTCAGGGCAGAACATGACACGTCTCGGGCACGGAGGTGGAGAGGGGATGGTGAGGGAGCCAGCTAGTGGAGTGAGGTTGGGCAAACACACCTCCCAAGTCTTCCGTTGTGATGTTAAGGCTACACTGGTAAGTTAGCCTCTTCAGAGCACTTGTGATGTCCAGACCCTGAGTGAGCACAGGCTTCTGCAAGGCCACTAGGGGGCTGGAACTTCTGTGCCATGGATCTCTCTGGCACTCTGGTGAAGCCCACGGACCCACTTCTCAGAATCATGTTTTGTAATGTGTAAAATAAAATATGTGGGACTACAAAGAAACCAACTATTCTGAAGTACAGCTATCAAAATATTCAGAGAAAATGTTATGACAGACCAGTGTATACGCTTCTTTACTAACACATTCAGTGCTGAGACTTGCCAGCAGGTGTAAGGAGTGATAAGCATCACTGATACTCTGGGCTATAACTGTGACAATGGACGTGTGACAGCCCACTCTCTGGGACAGCCACCGCAGGCCAACAGGTGCTGCCAATACGACTGTGCTTTGCTTCTGACGTTCACAGAGGACAATGTGAAACTTCAGTTTGAGTGTAAGGTTCACAGACCCTCTGAGTTCCAACCACAGCACCCCTGTGCCAAAGAAGAGCGGGCCTGCGTGGGTGCTCTGGCAGAGAACAACCTCCAGGAGGGTCACGATGAGGGAGAACGATGACAGGAAGGCGGGTGAAGAGGAGGCGGCCCAGCAGTAGCCTCGCGACGCCTGCCGAGGGGGCCTCGGGAGGGATCCAGTCCCCATGAAGAGGTAGGAGTGACCCAGCGGCCCTGTGAAAGAGAACCTGAGGCCCGCGGTGGGGCTGAGCTGGACACACCCATCCTGGGGCCAGCTTCACCCCCAAACCCTAAACCCTGAGTCCCTCAGCACTGACCACACAGGTCTGTGTGGCCCTTCTAGAAAATACGCTTTCTATGAATCCTCTCCAAGCATTCTTTTTTGCCTCTGACAGACCAGGCTCGTTCCTGACCCCAGCTGTCACACGGCTGGCTCCTTCTCAACACGTTGGCTTGGAGAGTTCCTTCCGACTGTCCTGAATAATGAACCCACCACCATCCCAGCCACTCTCTACTCCAGGCCCTGTTTCATTTTCTTCAGAGCACTGATCACTGGCTGTCATGGTCTCATTTGCTTAGTTATATAGTGCCCTCTCTTCACCCCTAGAAGGTAAACGCCACAAGACAGGATCGTGTCTGTCTGTCCACTGCTGTGTCTGCAGTGCCTAGAACAGGGCCTGGCTCAGAGAAGGTGCTCGGTAAATAATGGAAGCATCCCTGGTGTCAGAACTTGTCATCAGTCTCTCTTGGATCATTATCAGGGCTGAAACCTGGTGCTGTGCACTGGCTTGTCTGTATTAGGATTATTCATTACAAAGAGCACAGAGTACTCAGGAGAGAACTGAACCCAGCCACCATGTCTACAGGGAAAACAGACGTGAGGCTCCATAAAATCCAGAATCAAAAGATGGATAAGGGCCCAGGGGCCTTCCAGCTCGACAGTGAAGTCTTTAAACAAGCAGTTCTCCCCTGTCTT